GAGGTGAAAGCAGCCATTTCGTGGCGGTGATGGTGGTTGCCACTCCCCACACCGCCTCATCTCTCCCAAACCTCGACGTGGCGTTCATGCATCCAAAATGTGGAGTATTCGCCCGGGCTGCTGACCAGACACCAGACTTTTCCATAAAAAAAAAATGGGACGGGAAGGAAGGGGTGGTGGAGAGACAGTGACTTCGCCGCGTCCTCGTTGTTCGCTCCAATTATATATGTATTCGGCTGGCCGCCACCGTGACGTGCTGCAGCCTCTGCGGACTGGAGATATTATTAGTTACGAGGTGGCTGAGTTCAAGATCCTCCAACCACAAGACCCCGCCGCAGGGTTGGAGTCAAAAGGGGGTTGGACGGCAAAAACAATGAAATAAAATTCATCCTGCCGTCATCGGTTCCTTGACTCCTCCCATCGCGGTCCTCCAAGGAACCATAAGATGGGAAAGAACCGCACAGAAACATATTCGTCTTATCAGAACATATTAAATTAGGTCGCCCGCATTCTCGCGGACATTCTTTTCGCACGCCCCCAACAAAAAAAAAAAAAAAAAAAAAAGCATATCCAATTAAAACAACTAAACAAAAAGGGGGTAAATAATAAAGTCATGATTTTATGCAAACCCGACAATCATCATCACTATCTCGTGCCGCACCAGCCAAATGACACCTAACCGCACAAATCGTGAATGGACCTGGTTTTTTTTTTTTTTTTTTTTGCTTACGGCTTTCTACACCATCTCACTGCAAGCAAAAAGGAAAAATATTTGGGCTTAGGGCTGTAGCATTTTTGTATTTCTATTTATGCTCGTTACATAGCATCAAAGCATCACAGCGGTCATAAAGTTTCGCCTCACATTCATTACGCTACTACAACAATTTCTAAGAGCAGTTTTTTGCTAAGGCTTATTGAAAAACAAAAAAAAAATAAAAATAAAAATTTATTTATAAGGCGCTTAATTAATCATAAAAACAAAAAAAAAAAAAAAAAACATATATATATATATGATATATATAATGGTGTTTTTTTGGCGGCCAACCCCCAAAGCAAAGTCATGTTCGCATATCATTGCTCTATATTTCGACACTCTATGACAAATCGCCAAATTTCATCCAACTTCTCTCATGAAAGGACGATATCAAATCCAACTCCGGGGACTCAATGCAAACACAAGAAGCAAACAGCCTTGCCGAAACTAGATAAGGATCAGCATCGCCAGCAGGTCTTCGATCCTCCATATATCCCTTTCGCTCCGCCGCAACAGCGTTGGGGATGCGAATCGACGTACCCCTCGTACCAACCCCAGCGGTGACCTCGTTTGGCTTTGAAGTCTCGTATTTCCCCGTTAACCGTTCGTTGTTTTCAGCTCCATACAAAACGATATCCTTTGAAATTGTTTTCTTTAACCTCTCCACGTATTCGTAAATCACGCTCAATCCATTCTCATTCCGGGTCGAGGCCGTAGAAAAATTGGTATGAAGCCCGCTGCCATTCCATTCGCCCCGAATGGGTTTTGCACGATAGTCAGCATCCAACCCATCATCTTCTAGAATCCGTAGTAATACCCACCGCGCGACAGTCAACTGATCCCCCATTTCAATGCCCTCGCAAGGACCCACTTGAAACTCCCACTGGCCTGGAGCGACCTCCGCATTTGTGCCAGAGATATTTAGCCCCATCTGTAGACACACTTCATAATGCAAGTCAACATAGCGCCTCCCATGAACACACAGGCAGCCTGTAGAGCAGTAATATGGTCCTTGTGGAGCCGGAAATCCTCTCGGCGGCCAACCGTAGGGATGTCCATCCTTAATCAGGAAAAACTCTTGTTCCATTCCAAACCAAGGATGTTCCTCAGGCGCACGCTCAAATATGCGACGCGCCACAGCACGCGAGTTGTCATTTGTTGGCTCGCCATTTGGCAAACAGCATTCGGCCAAAACAAGAATCCACGGCACCGTTGTCGAAAGTCGGGGAAGACAGCAGTGATATGCGTTAACTGGATTGAGAAGAATCTCAGTATCTGCGCCACAAACCTGTTTCGTGGAGGAGCCATCAAAATTCCAGACGGGGAAAATGCCGTCAGCAAGAAGCTCCTTCGGATGCTTTGCCACTTCCTCGGTCGTCAAGTACGCCGTTCGGTCCTTACTTCGGATGTCATGGTGAGAATCCCTGCCAGAGAGCCAGATATAGGTTAATCTGCAAGCGATTCTTTTCTCCTTCAAGCCTGTCATCCTTTTTTGTTGCTGTTGTTTTTGGAGCTTCAAAGCTTTAAAATTAAAAATAAAAATAAAAAATAAAAAAATATATAAGTTTGTTAGAAGCCTTTTCAGCCCAATAAGGACCTTTTCCATTTATGTATTTTATACGGCTCTTGGAGACAAAAAGCGTCACCAGAAACAGCATTTCTTCTCTCTCCCTCCCCCACAAAAAAAAAAATTTTATTCCATCACCCGTTCATCAAAAACACGCTGCTCATTGTCGATTGTTAATCCACATAAATCTCAAATCAAATTCTAAAACAAAATGCACCCAATCCAGCAATACTCATTCCTTTCAAAACTTATAAGCACTAAATAAACAGCAATAGTACCTCTTTACCGATCCACAGATGCGAAAAGAATAATCTTCCGGGCCGCTGGCTGGATCCTGAAATTATTTACAAAAACCAAACAAGATAGAGAAAAAGGGGAGTATCGAAGAGGCAGTTAATTGCCTCTGTGTTTCCCTCCGATAATATATTTATATATATATATATATATATGTATTATATATACTGTTGACCGCTCACGTGGCCTTTGCGCTCAGTGAGTGTATGAAATATTTATTACTTACGACGTGGCAGACTTTGGGCTTCTCCAACCCCAAGACCCCGCCGCGAGGTGGGGATCAACAGGGGGTGGGTGGGTGGCAAAATAAAAATAAAAAATTATCTTGCCTCTGTCTGCTCCCTGATGCCCTTTTAAAGTCATTTTTTGCCAAAAATTCATACGGTAGAAAAGCGTCGTAAAGAAGAGCATTACTTCTATCAGGATATATATATATATATTAATATATTAATTAAGGCAGCCAGCTCTCCCGCGATCATTCTCTTCACAAGCTCCCAGAAAATGTCGGGATTGGGAGGGAACAAAAATTTTATTTTATTTTTTCCCAGGAGAAATTAAAAAACATCAAAGTAAAAAGGCACCGAAAATAAAACAATTCGTACAACATTTAAGTAAAAAAGCAAACATGTCAATAAAAAGTAAATGAAAATAAAAGAAAGAAATTCGAAAAAACAAAAAATTGGATACGAAAGAAGAAGAAAAGGAGGTGACATGTACTGCAAGCAGAGTAAATAAGGGAAAGCCAGCGCGTCTGTAAAAAAAAAAAAAGGGGAGAGAGAGGGGGGGGGGGAGGGCGAGAAAGATATTTATATTCACATACGTGTGTGTCTGCAGTAAAGTGACGTCTACATATGTGTGTTAGATGTATGCTCCATTGATTATGGCAGCTCTCCATGAAAATTTTATTTCTCCCTCCCTCCCTCCCTCTCCCCCACTTTACATGCGCGCAGCAAAATAAAACACGTTATTTCTATTCAGTCATAGATGACATCAATAATTTACATACAAACAAAAAAAATAATAAAAGAGGGGGAAGAAAGAAGAGAGAAAAAAAATAAGAAATGTAAAAAAATAAAATAAAAATAAAAATAAAAAT